TCATTCTAAGGGAACTCTCTATACTACAATATCTTCATAGTTCTTCTGCAAATTTGAAACTATCTACAGCATATAATAAAAGCCTAAGCAACCGTTACGGTGGAACACCCAGTCAATATGATGCGCACTGACCACCGGGGAGCAGACACTCAATGCAGGAGCTGCCCCCTGGTGGTCAGTGAACTCCCACAGCAGAGTGTCACTCAGCCAGAAGCCATGCTCACAGTTGGCGAGCACAGCGGCAGTGGTGGGAGCCTCTTCCGCCTCCACAGCAGTGCTAAGGAGTAGCAAGCCAAGCAGTAAGGAGCAGTGAGCAGGCGGGGTGTGTGTGTGTGTGTGTGTGTGTGTGTGTGTGTGTGTGTGTTAAGGAGTGAGCAGTCCCAGACTGCGAGAGGGTGCAGGCTAGGCTAAGGGACCTTCCCTCTCCTCCAGTGCACAAATTTGGTGCACTGGGCCTCTTGTTCTAAAATAAAAAAGTAGTTTATTTAAAAAAAATTTTTAAGAAGGCAAAACGGAGTCTATAAACCTTCTGCTTAAAACTCTCACTGATATGTGTGTGTGTTTGCTCTTAAGAGAAAAATTCCCAGTTCTTCACGTGGCCTACAAGACCTTTGTGATCTGGTCCTGTTTGCCTTGTGTAATGCCCTCCTCTTCTCTTGCCCCAGTCCAATGAGCCCTCTCAGTCACAAACCATCAGGCTCCTTGTTGACAAGAGACAAGCTGCCATCTTTGCCCTCCACCTGGTGAACTCAACCTTCAGCTCAGTGTCACTTCTTCAGGACAACATTCTTACATCATCCTGTTTTGTTTTGTGGGGCAGCTGTCAATTGCAGTTACATTTGTGTTTTTTTTTTGTTTTGTTGTTATGTTCATCTATCTCATGGAATTAGGAGTTTCCAGGAGGGCTGTGGCCATGTGTCTCTTTGCTTTTGGTGCTTATTAGCACAGTACCAGGCACATTTTAGCACCCATAAATTGTTGTATGAATGAGTGATGAAATGAGAAAACAAGCTGTTGTGATATTTTTTGCTCACCACTGGAGAATGCTACAGAGCCAAGCACTGCAGATAGAGATAATTATTGCAATTCGCTTAAAAATTTTAAAAACACAACTAGTGTTAAGGCACAGGTAAGGCATTGCAAAATAGCCAAAACTTTTCCCCAACTCTTATAGTTAGGAAAGACTCATGGATACTTACTAACACGTAGGTTGTGAACAGGAAAGGAAACTGAAAAATATTTTAAACCTTATACTGAATTCATGTTCTGGCTAAATTTTAAAAGTGTTTGTATAGAGATTTCAAATTACATTTGAGTCAAGTAAAAAGGTGATTTTAGCTTCATTTTTGATGCTTTTTTTTTTTTAAACACAGTGCTACATACTTGCTTTGCTAAAGAATTGTGAGTCAGAAGGCAAAAAGGGATTTAACCAAGACATTGTATTATGATGAATTTTTCTCTCTAACTTTCCAATTTAAATGAAAAATGTTCCTACAGTTCTGTAATATTTTTAATCATTGTAAGCCTCTCCAGTGTATTTACTTCCCATGATAGAGCTCAAATAGCCAGTGATTTCATCAGCAAAGAGACAAAAAGGCACCAAGTAGTATATATGCTGTACAAAAAAACCCATCATTTAAAAATGATGTGCCTTATTTGACTGCTTAATGATATATGGAGCCTGACTTCTCCCAATAAAAAGGAGCTCATTTTACTTGTATTATAGGCACACGAAGGCCCTCAGATATATAGAACTTATGCATAGGACCTTGAGTCCAGAAAAAGATTGTGAAGAGAGACCTTGCCAATTCCCTATTTGCAAACGTGAGGAAACCTACCTGGTGAAATGCTCACTTTCTTCCTGCCTCTTTCTCCTTCCAACTCATCCCTTCCTGGTGGAATTAAATGATGATACATAGAAAAACCTTGAACTATACACATCAAACTGTTGACAATGTTGCTATTTAAAGTGTAGAAATGAATAAATGTAAAATAAATAGTTATTTTATTTCTTTTGTCATTATTTGTTTTATGATTTAAAAATAAAGTTTTATAGACATTAACTTTTGATTTTCTCAGCTATTTGTGCGCTCTACTGTATTTGACTTGATACTTTTACCATAGATATTTCAGTTTACTGAAAAATATATTAAAATTATAAGTAAATATAAATACTGAATTTTTCTTATTTTACTGGCTCCTGATCTCCTTGAGGTTAAAAATATAGAAGCTTAGATTCTCCCAATTTAGCTAATTCTCTCAGGGCAAAAGCTGTTTTCACTGTTCCATTTACTGCGCTGGGTTTCAGACACCACTCTAGTTTTTACTTGAATGTTCCTCACTGATGCTTTTATGAAGTTTTGTGGTAGTTGTTTTCACAGTTTATCTAGCAAGTTTAATTGTTTTCAGGAAGAATATTGGTCTAGGTTCCTAGTCAGCCATTCTGCTGGAAATGAACCTCTCATAATGTTTGCACCACATATATTTACTTTGTGTATTACATTTCAGAGCTGTGAAATGGTGTAATAAAAAATGTGCTTATATGTCATTCACTAAATTAACTTTCCCTTCACCAAATAGTATCCTTAGAGTTTAGGCAGGCAGGTGAGTGGTTGGGGGTGATGAGACAGGCAGATAAAATGGTTAGGGGTGATCAGGCAGGCAGGAGAGTAGTTAGGGGTGGTCAGGCAGGCAGGTAAAGTGGTTAGGGTCGATCAGGCAGGCAGGCAGGTGAGCAGTTAGGGGCGATGATGCTGGCAGTTGAATAGTTAGGGTGATGAGGCAGGCAGGCAGAGTGATTAGGGGCGATCAGGCAGGCAGGCAGCCCAGCAGTTAGGAGCCAGCAGTCCCAGATTACAAGAGGAATGTCTAACTGCGGTGTAGGGCCTAATGCCTAATGCCGGTTTAGGGCCTACACCGGCAGTCGGGCATACCTTGAGGGGGTCCCAGATTGTGAGAGAGCGCAGGCCAGTCTGAGGGCCTCCCCCTTCCCGTTCACAAATTGCGTGCACTGGGCCTCTAGTCCTTAAATAGCTCAGAAGGAAACCAGTTTTTATGATTTGTCTAAAGAGCATTTATCCTACCAATTTTACTGAAATAAAATCTAAATCCCAAGTGAAGTCAGAGCGTTGATTACCTGGATTTAATTGACGTCCCTATAGAATGATTCTACCAAACTGCTCTTTGGGGTGACTCATGAGTAGCAGCCCATGAAACGGCATTTCTGTGTTTCCCTAAGAAATGTCCGGGGAGTTCATTACATAAGCATTGCATTTCTGTTCTGTGGGCTCCCAAGGGTGAATTTCCTTCTGAGTTCCAAGAGCAATTTGGTTGTGGACATTATGAATTGAGGGATCTCTTGTGTCTCCCTTTTTCCTTTGGCTACTGGAAAGCTTAGCATCTTGAGAGGTCCTCCCCTGCCAAGCAAGGCACAACTTTATGGAATATAATTTTGTTTATAAATATTATAGATTTGAATTTACTCTGCCCTCCTTACTTTTCCTTTAATAGTTTTTTCCATATTAAATACATATTTTTAAAACTTTTGAATAGTTTTTGGATTATAGTGGGTATATACAAAATCATTTGATTATTGTTTCAGATATTGCAAATCAGCATATAACCATATTTTATTTTTATTTATATATATATATAACCATATTTTATAAATGAAATTATACAATTACATATTTACTTTTGCTTATATAAACATTATCAAGATCTAGAAAATTAGATTGCAGTAAAATTCATTGTCTCTAGGCCCAAAGGAACAAATATGCAAAGACAGTAGAGACCATTATTATGATTTCTGAGACGGACTGCAGCGTAGCTTGCTCCCTCATTTGTTTGAATGGGCAGATTTCCAAAAGTAAAGTCACTCTCCTTAAATATTTTTCATAGTTCAGTAATCTGATAAATGAGCTATTTATTCATTGTTTCTCTGGTATCACACAGTAGATTATCCATAGCAACAATCCTTTTCAGACTTAATAAGACCAGCTCTGTATTTATTAGGAAAATAATATCGCCAGGTTAAACAAACTGACTGCTGGTTTTGTGTATTTACTCTCTTACAAAGAGATCTGCTAAGCCTTCAATGTATTCTATGTTGTGCATGTTAGAGAGGCTGACCTGGAGTATGACTTTATGATTCTGAATGTGCCATTTTTTTATGGTGTGTTTAGAATAAGAAAGAGGGTGAGCAAATAAAGCTTTATAAATAAAGTGCTATTTTGTGTATTGAAAGGAGGGCCAAACTCTTCTCTGAACAATAGAAATCAGACATATCATGGTAAATATTACCGCTCCCCGTCTATAGAGCATAAATGGAATACTTCATATTGATTGGCCCAGGAAAACACATTTCCGTTTTTCTTGACTCGACAATTGGAATCTATAAGAAGGGATGTGCTTCAGAAAAAAGAAAAAGATAGTTTCAGAATTACAGAGATATTTTTATAAGAGAACAGATTCCTTTTTAAGAATCTGAATTGCTATTGAAATGTAAATTAAACCTAAGATCTTTTCATGTCAAAAATGTAATAGTATTTAAAATCACAAAATGTTAGAGTGCATGTATTCCAATATTCTTATTTTACAGCAGTGAATGCTTTTAGAAATTGCTAAAAAAAAAAAAAAAAAAAGAAAGAAAGAAAGAAAGAAAGCCTGATATCTTTCATCTGAAATCTCTCATCTGAAATGTCCATGTGCAATATAAAAAAAATTAACTAAAACTTGAGAAGTTTAATCCTACAAGGTATACTAATGGGAATATAATCATTGTTTACAAGGTAGATTGATTACTAATTTCATTTGTTATATAATAGAATGGAGTGTATTTTTTCCCCTTTATTTGATTTTTTTAATGTGGGTCAGCAATGGAGCTCTGCATTTATTAATTGGTTGAGCCTATTCTGATAGAATCTTTGCTATGTTAAATATCTGTTTTTCTTAGGTAAATTTTTTGTACTTGAATTACTTTTTTTTGTTTATATTCACAGATTCTGGAACTTTTCAAAGCCTGACCCTCTTCTTGAAATAGTGGACCATCATACAGAGTTTACCTGTGGTTTAGATTTAAGTCTTCAGAGCCCTACTCAGGTAATGGCTGCGATCTCCTGGGGGGTTTTCTTCCTATACAGTTCACAAATAGCTCTATGTGTGGCTTTTCTGAACAAAATTACTGCCTTTAGGCAAGAACAAAGAACATTTATTTAATCATCCTGATATCTTTTGCTGTAAAGCTGGAGCATTTGAAACACTAGGAAAAGAGAGGTGTCCAGAAACTTGACATGCCTCTCTCCTCTTAAAGACTGACTTTTCTGAGAGGAAAAGGAACCGTCCCCACAAGTACTGTGCCTTATATGCTGAAGGGTCCCAGAAGAAAGAAAAGAAGGAATGGGGAAGGATTGACGTCCCCAGAGGTTGGTGGGAGTGGAGAGTGTGTGGTCCTCATTTCAGCTGTCCCATAAGCATATGAGATGGTGGACAAGGCACTTCCCTCTTGGGACTGCCACCAGAAACCGTGTTAAAAGAGAGGCTTCCGATGGGGGACATAGTAAAGGAGAATAGCTACTCTTTTAATCAATAAACTTTAAAATTCCCACATTTTATTTTCTTGAGGATGTGAGAGTTTAAATATTTAGGACTTTTTAAAAAGCTATTTCAGTTTTGGAAACCCAGATCAGAAACACTAGAATATGTTGAATGATAATGCACTTTAAAACAGACTGCGTGGAAACACTAACGTATCAATGAAATAATATAATATGTGGAAATTCTAGAGTATGACTAAGAAATTATGTTTTTATGACAAATTTTAGAAATTAGACAAGAACAAATCCCATTTCTCATTGCTGTGTTTTTAAATTTAAATGAATACAGGTGTTTTTTATTTTATTTTAGGAATTTAAGACATAATTCTGAGCTTAAAATATTCTCGTTAGATATTAGAATAGTCTCATTAACATTAAAATAATTATTGTAAAATGACTTCATAGCAACTAAGAGGAGAAGAGACTGAAAGTGCTGGGTCAAATGGCATTACCTTTAATGTAAATACAATGTGCTTCCAATGAACTGGATTTTCTCTGAGACATAAATCTATTATAGATGATTTTAAATAAAATATTCATACCTGTTTGCTCTCCTAGTTAAGAAAAAAGCTGTACATATTGAAACATGACCATACCAAACAAAGGACCCTAAATAAATACTTTCCTCTCATATATTTCTGTTAACCTATGTTCCATGAGTCCCAGACTGTGGCCCGAGGCAACACATATGCCTTCTCGACTTCCTTGATCCTGGCAGTTCCTCACCCTGTCTGATAGGTGCCAAATGCTTTCTAAAACCTCCGCATAGACCACCTTATTAAAAGCAACTTTTTTTTCCAGAGGACTTATTAATTAGACTTTATGTATTCTTAGATAAGAGAATGTATTACAAGGTCATGTATTTTGTGTAAATCTGGTGTCTGTCACCCACCTCTTGCTGTTTAACAAATTTCAATTGTACTAAGGAAATAGTTGCTATTGAGAGAAATAAGAGTGGGGAAGCAGGGTCTTCAAGCTCTACCTAACCATCAGGTTCACTGGCATAATGTACAATTAAACTGTGCCAGAAGTCTCCACTGAGTTAATTCATAGTGGGACAGAATTTTGGGAATAGAAGGGATCTAAGAAATAAGACCAATCCCTCTCATTTATGTCTTCTTCCCACAGACATTTTCATATGCCAATCCTTGGGCCATGCACTGGGGATTCAGTAGAGAATGAAAGTAAATGTGGGCCCTGCCTTTATAGAGCATTTAATCCACTGTTATATCAGATAATCTCAAGAAAGGAATGCAAATGACAGTTGTAAGGACCCTATGAAGGAGAAGTACATTGTTCCTCAAGAGTCCATAATCAGGATAGACATTTGACCTATTTAAGAAATTTGTAAGGAAGTGAGGGTCACCTGAGATCTGATGAGTGGGCATTAACTGTAGTATGAAGAGACAAAAGTAAGAAAGATCATAACAGGCAAAGGTAACAGTATGTTACAGATGTAGCAATGGCAGGGAGCATGGATAGTATTTGAAAATGAAAAAGCATTTTTTCCGTATTTATGGTAGACTATTCAACATTAGAATTTAAGGAAATATATTTGTTGACTTGTCATGTTTTTAAAAATGGAGTGTTGAGATTATTGACTAAATGTTATGTTTGTTTCAATGCCCCCTTCCCCCTCCATTGTATTTATATTCTGTTTTGGACCTTAAATTTTCTTCCCTTTCTAACTACGATTTCAACCAATATTTTTTTCACATGCCTAACTGACACATTTCAACACAAACATTTGCATTGTTTATATTAATAACTTTTGCTTTTACCAGAAAACATTAATGTTCTTTGTAGATAACAGTCAAGTTCTTGGTGCAGCTCCCTATTGTTCTCTCACTTATATCGTTTCAGTTTATTATCTCTTGCTATATAATAAACTCCCCACAAGTTAATAGCTGAAACAACAATTCCCTTTCCCCATAGCTCTGTGAATCAGTAATTTGAGATGGGCTAAGCCACGCAGTTCTCTTTTGGCTCCATCGTCTGGTGGCTTCACTCCAGCTGGGTGGTCTTCGATGGCCTCGTTCACATGTGTGGGGCACAGTGCTGGGGTCTTCTCTGCCCTGTGCCTCCAGACGAGCCTCTTCCCTTGGCTGTTGTGGATTTCCAATAGATTTCCAAGAAGGGGAGAGTAAAAGCCACAAGGTATCCTCAGGGCTAGGCTTCGAAATCACACAACCACCCCTCTGTTGCAAAGCAATCCATAAGGCTAATCAGATTCAAGGAGTGAGAAAGAGACTCCACGTCCCGAAGGGAGTAGTCACAAAAATTTGCAGCCATTGAAAATATACCACATTAATTTTTTGCTGGTATAGTTGGTAGCTTAATTTATTTTTGACATATTTACCCTTTATTCTCAGAGTATGTGGTCAAGTTTGCTGATTGCATGTTAATTTATTTCACCATTACTTCATAGTTTATTTCCTTAAAAAGTATCTTTTTCACCGGCTGGCATGGCTCAGTGGTTGAGAGTACACCTATGAACGAAGAGGTCACGGTTGATTCCTGGTCAGGGCACAAGCCCAGGTTGCTTGATCCCCAGTTGGGGGCGTGCAGGAGATAGCCGATCAATGATTTTTCTCTCATCATTGAAGTTTCTATCTCTCTCTCCTCCTTCTTCTTCTCCTCCTCCTCCTCCTCCTCCTCCTCCTCCTCCTCCTTCTTCTTCTTCTTCTTCTTCTTCTCTCTCTCTCTCTGTCTCTCTCTCTCTCTGTCTCTCTCTCTCTCTCTGTCTCTCTCTCTCTGTCTCTCTCTCTCTCTCTCTCTGTGTATATACATACATATATATATATATATATATATATACCTCAATATATACACACACATATATATATATATTAAAGTATATTTCTCTCACCTCTTAGAAAATAAGTATCTTTCAAAAATGTATTGTCTCTTAGGGTAATCTTAATAGCTGTAGGACTTTGCTGATGTTACCTTAGCGTCTCTGTGTTTTAATATATTGTCTGTCTCAAAAGAAGATTTATCTGAGTTTTTATATTTATAATTCTTTTTAGCTTCTCCCTTCTTAGAGATCTGAAAGATGAGACCCAAGAATATTACACCTTTCTTCTTGACAGAATGTAAGATCTTGTCTTTGAAAGTTTAAAACTTGACAAATAAGTGTTGGGTCATTCTTTAAGGATAATTGCTGAGAAATTCTTTGTGCCCTCACTTGTTAACCAGGCTGAAGTTACCTTTCACTTCAAAAAAGTTTTCTTTGATTTTTCCCCCTTTCTGATCATGATTTGTACAGTCTTGGCATTTTCCCTTTTCTCGTCCTTATTATTTCTAAATTGGATACTCTTTTTCTATATTTTTAGCTTTATGATTTTTGATCTTCCACACACCCATTTATATAATTGGGATTTCTTGTATGAATGTAGTTTTAGAATTCTTGACTTCATGATCTGTTAGTATCAACTCTGCTTTTTTTAATGCATTGATATTAGTCTAGTATTTATAAACTGGGTACTGGTTTAGATATCTGTTCACATTTCTTTTGTAAGATAATTATTTTTCTTTTAAAGTATAAATTATTCATTCCAAGAACATGTATGTTTAATAAAATGTATCTCTTTCCCCATGATGAAATTGGGAAGTTACATATAAAAGAAAGAAACAAGATTTCTACCACTCTGTAAAGAATCAGTTATAACATATTAATATTTTGTTTCAGTCCTTTTTAAAGAAGTTTTTAAATTAAAGTATAACACTTATACTAGAAAATACACATATTTTTAGTGTATAGCTCAATAAGTTATCAAGAATGCCCATGCCCATGTATCTATCACTCAGTTTAAGATATAGGACACTACCAGCATCCCAGGAACCCTCTCAATATTCCTCCAAAATCTCACCCTCTCCCTTCTCTGTATTTGTGCATATTTTTCAGTGTTGTACAATAGTTACATTACACATAAGAATTTTTCTTCTGGGACTCCCAAAATCCTTGGTAAACATAATCATTGGTGAATGAATATCCTAGTCCATCCATGCTAGGTATCCTTATAGTACCCTTAAAATAGGGTAGAAGAAATTTTGAATACTTTCATTTTGTTTGGTGGAAGATGCTTAGATTTGATTTAAACAAGTTCTTTAGATATGGTTTAAAAAGTATCTCTGGCTTAGTTGATGTTTTAGTGAAAATATTCATTATTTAAAATTCAACTTACATTTTTATTCAAATCCCTATTTTGACAATCTTAGATACCAGGTTTAGAGGTTGACAGTGGGTAAACTATTTTAAATTTCTCAGTATAAGTTGGAAATGAGGTTTTAGAAGAGGACTGGCATTATTGGCAATTAGTATATCTGTGTCCTTGCACTTTTGATCTGAGGTAGTACCTACTGCATGTGTCAAACAGACTACCTTTAGCATTGGAAAAACATGTACCAGAAGCATCCGCTGTCCTCAGGCAGCAGTCGGTGCCATTTCCTCCCTGATGCTTTAATAATTGTATAATATTTAGCTGAAAATTACATAACAAGTGC